TATCTTTTGCAGAACAAAGCAGATTTCCAGAAATACCCAAAACTATTCAATGTTGGCTTAGAGCCCATGTGTCCGTGCTCATGTGTGTATGTGCATCTTGAAGGGAGAAGAGGCCTTCCTCTATGTGCTATGCCCCTTTCAAAGATAATATTCAAATATGATGCCAGTAGCTGACAGTGATCAATGGTTGCTATGTTTCACCCCAAAGCTTTGTTAGGAACCCCATAAAACCTGGCACATGGTTTGTGACACCCAGTGAAACATTGTGCTTCTTCCATAATATCCTGAGCCCTGCTGCCTGTCATTAAGGGACCTCTCTTATTAAGCATCTCTTTTTTAAATGGCTGCCATCATCTGGTCCCAGTGTACATTAAATCCCATTATAATTATAAACACACTCCCCCATAACATTTGCTGCAGATCTCATCCTCATTGCCTACCCCCTTAGGGCATCTTTGCACTAATAACAACTCAGATTTGCTATCTGAGTTGACAACATTAGGTCCCAACACCATTTGCAATATGCTGGGGAAAGAGAGAGAGAGAAGAAAAAGCTTTTTCTTCCTCAATTACGAAGATCTTGGGGTCACAGTGACCTAAGGACTCAGGGGCTAAAAAAAAATAAATCCCTTCTCCCACCCTTTTGAAAAGTCACTCTCTGATCTACAGATGAGGGAAGGGCATACTTGGCACCTGGAAGAGAAACTCAAGTTTGTAAACACCACTACCCAGGCCTCTGTTGGTTGGGGTGGTGATGGTGGTTGTGGTGGTGTGGGGGATGAGGGATGATGGCAATCACTAATCAAAGAAGCCGTCTTATTTGGTTTGCTGAGCCTCAGTTGACCAGAACACACACATCTCCTGATTATTTCCTGCTCTGCTTTTTGGAGGGAGTATCTAAGGAAGTAATGTGAAAGAATTAATCTTTAAAAACAAACAAACAAAAATGTCAACATATACAGGAGTAAATTCTACTCTACCTATTTTTTTTTGAGATGAGATCTTGCCCTGTCACCCAGGCTGGAGTGCAGTGGCACAATCTCAGCTCACTGCAGCCACTGCCTCCTGGATTCAAGGGATTCTCCGGCTTCAGCCTCTTAAGCAGCTGGGATTACAGGCACGTGCCACCACACCCAGCTAATTTTTATATTTTTAGTAGAGACACAGTTTCACCATGTTGGCCAGGTTGGTCTCAAACTCCTAACCTCAGGAGTTTGATCTGCCTGCCTCAGCCTCCTACAGTGCTGGGATTATAGGCATGAGCCACAGCACCTGGCCTACTCTGCCTAGTTGTTGACATTACCCACAGCTCTATAGTAGATGTCTGGAATGATGATCTGAAGGACTGTAAGATTGAAAGATTTTTTGGACTCCAGAAAGGACACAATAGGCTCTCGGTGTCTTCCCTTAACAGTCTTCGGTAGGTAAAGGTCTGAGGCCCTGGTGTGTTCCCCACTGGCAATCTGGAGTTCTCAGCTGCAGAGAATTTTCCTCTGTTCAGGGGCATCATTACCTGTACCTCTCCATGAACGCGCTTCATTCTCCACTCTTCACAAGTTTTGGGGGAAATGCAAAGTAGCACCTCCTCCCCAAAAGGTAGGAATCCTTGGTTTATTTATCATGATAGAAGAGTTTACTTTGAAACAAAAAAATTAAATATATGTTCCAAATTAAGAGTTGCAACATTCCGTTCATACTCAATCAGAATACTCAAAACACCACTATATTCTTCCTACCTCTTTAGTTGAAGTTGTTTTTTTTTGGTAACTCAAAGCCCCCTCCCCAACTTCTGCCTGAGATTCTGAGGAGGAGAAAAAGTATCAGATCCTGGGGGAATCTAAGTTTATCTGGTGACCAAGCTGAGAACCATTTGGTCGCAGCTTGGCTGGCTGCTGCATAGATCTTGGCCTCAGTAGAGAAAGAGAAGGAAAATTAAAAGTCCTTGCTTCCTTCATCTATTTCACTAGAGGCTATATAATCTAGAAGTTAAGAGCATGAACTTTGCAGTCAGAATGGTCTGATTTAAAGTTTCAGCTCTGGTGTTTAATGGAGCTACAGTCTGGAGTAAGGCACTTAATCTCTCTGAGCCTCAGTTTTCATGTCCACAGAAATTGGGAAAATAGCACCTGCATTAATAGGGCTGTTATGCGGATTAAATAAAACAACATAGGTAATGTGTTAAGGTTCATAGTCAGTGCTCAGAATGAGTTATTATTTTCACTGTCTCCTTCCTGTATGATCTGTTAGAACTGCTATACCCTCCTCTTCCACTAACTGAGCTCTGAAAGGCTGCCAGTGGTGGGAGGTATATGGGTAAAGGAGATGAAGGATTAAGAAGATTTAGCGAAGGAACTCTATGCAAGGCCAGCTCATCTATTCCTTCGTCTCTAGCATGATCTCTCCCTAAGATTGATCCTGCATTTTTAGAACTGATATCCAGGTTTCCCTTAGTAGACCCTTCAAGAAAAAATGTAAAAGAAAAATCACTCTAAATACATGAACCTGAGAGAGACAGAAAGAGAGAGGGCATGCGTGCATGCGGGAGACTGAGTATTCTCCTGTAATTTTCCATTCTGCTTGTTTTTAGGTGCTGCCATATGAAATCTCTGAACTGAGGATTCTCATCAGCCTTCCCAGGACCCAAGGACATAGCTCTGGCTATAATGGTGCCAGTTTTGGTGGGGGAGCTGCTGCTGCTTTATCTGGGCCCAATAAACCTTATCAAACTGCTGTGCAGCCAGCCTTCAGCGCTGAGTGGAAATGCTTGGAGCCCAGTCCTGGCACTCAGCCCACAGCCTCGCCGGCCTTCTTCCTTTTTGTTACCTTCTCCACCTCTTAAATTCAGGCATTAATCTCTCTTTAACACTTACTAACAAGGGCTGGGCTTTTTAATGGGCAGAGTTTATGAAGCAAGGGAGATTTTCACATAGAGTGAATATGGCAGCAGGGTGGGGAGGCCAGGGCCGTGGAGGATTGTGCTTTCTCTCTCATTGTTTCCAGAGATTCTCTCTTCCTCTGATTTGAGGATTAATAGGAGATTAGGTTCAGGGGTTAATTGTGTGCTTCTCCTGCCACTGCACTGAGGAGAGGCTGGTAGGTGGATGTGGACAGCAAGGCGGAAATCTTCAGCAGGCACCATGTAGGCAGAAGCTCAACAAGTGTAGCGATTCTCCCTTCTGTTTCCCTGGTGAGGCGCCAGGAGTCTTTTCTCCTCTTCTTACATCCCTCCACTCTTGCTCTCCTTGCAGACCAGTTCTTGCCTAACTGTCTTTAAATCACTTTCCCCTAACAGGTATATAGACCGTAGTTAGAAAAATAGGTAGTCTGTAAATAGGGATTGCTCTTTATTATTAATGAAATGAATCCCCAGGGGCTGGCTCCACCTTCCCCCTTCCCTGAGTTTGATGTGGTTGTATCCAGAGCCCTTCCTTCACTCAGGGTGCTCCCCTGCCCAGCTCTCTCTGCAGACTCCTGCTGGGCTGAGCTTTCCCTGCTCCTGGGAGTCAGGAGTGGCTCTTGCTGGGATGGAATGACCCGTCTTTGGGGCTGCCTCATGAGCGGCTCTTGTGAACCCGGATCAGTTCCGATGTGTACATACACTCTGCCGCCCGGCCTTCAGCGGCCAGATACAGATTTCTGCCCATTTTCCATGACCCTACAGTTCATGGGGCTGGGTCTGGGGCAGTGACTTGCCTCTTCGGTCTGCGGCAATGCCAGAGGCACGCATGGATATGTGATTCTAGGTGAGCCTTTGGCCCACCCACGAGTCATGGACGGAATATGCAAGCTCAGGCCTGGGTGAGGTAAGCCCCGCCTTGCTAAAACCGGGTGACCTCGAGGGCTGACTAGCCTGAGACCCCTGCATGGCGTTCTCAGCCACCCCCACCTCCCACCCCAACCTCCTAGGCTTCAGGCAGAATCCACAGCCAGTGTCTCTGGCCCCCTACCTTCACTCAGCTCCAGGGAAAAGGGGAGACGGCAGCTTTCTGCAGTCAGAGGAAGGGTACATTTTCTTTTTTTTTCCCCAAAATTTTTTTTCTCTTTTTTTACCTTCACATGAGCAGAGGAAGGAAGGGTACATTTTCTTTGGCTGCTCTACCCTCTAAAGTAGGGAGGCCAGCTGAGAGGAGGACGCACTTCTGAGCGGCCCAGAGCTTTTCCACGCTTTCCCCTGCCCCCGAAGACTGTGTGCTGAGCTGGGGGCAGTTCTAGGGAACTGTTTCCACCCAGATTGCTCTGTGTGTGTGTGTGTGTGTGTGTGTGTGTGTGTGTGTGGTGGGGGCGGGCGAGGCAGAGCTGAGAGGTTGTCCAAGTCTAGGAGAGAGAAAAGTTTCTCCCAGGACGACCTTGGCCTCCAGCAACCGCCACAGCTAAAAAGGGGCGTCTCGCTTCGACAGTAGATCCCTGCGGACCTTCTGGCACCTGGTTCACCAGGGCCCGCGTACTCTGCATCTGGAGACTTCTTGAAATCCGGATGCTCAAGCCGGGAGGCGCGCAAGTAGCCAGGAGGATGAGAGGCCCAGGCTTGGGCTAGGAAAGCGGCCTTTTAAAACTGATGTCAGGGGCCACTGGGAATGCAGCCCCGAGCCAAGAGAAAAAAAGTTACAGGCGAGACGATACGCACTGAATTGGGGCAAAGATTGGAAAAGTGGACAAAACTGCGTGCTTGAGCATCGGGGTGCGGGGGAGGGGGCACAAACCCGTATCCGATGGAAATTAAAATCCTGGGAGTAGGTGGGGGCTGCTGCGCGCCCTTCACCCTCAGTGCCCCCATTAAGGGTTCCGAGTTCCCTGCACTCCTGTCCTCTAGCTCCCTGCTTCCTCTCTGCTCGGCCGGTGAGCGGCGGCCGCCGGCGCCCCAGCAGCAGCTAGATGTCAGGCGAAGCCCGGAGCGCGGAGAGCGGGGAAGGGAGGGGAGGGGAAAGGAGGGGTGGGGCGGGGAGCGCGCGCGGGCTCGGCCAGTGCGGGGTGGTGGGCGGGCTGAGCCCGGGGACGGCGCGGGAGGGGGGAGGGAAGGGGGGCAGCTGTGGGCAGGGAGCCGGGCTCGGCCGCCAGCACTAAAGATGGAGAGGCGCCGGGGCCTTGCAGGGGAGGGGGCTCGGCGTTGACGTGGGACGCGGCGGAGGCGCAGCAGCCGGTGGTGATTTGCTAACCTCGCAGCAGAGAGGAGTTGAGGGCGATGAGAGCGGGTACTGCGAACTGCCGGGCGATGCCGTCGCTGCCGCCGTGATACGGAGAGCAACAGTTCCTCAGCAACACCCCTCCCCGACACAGGCACACACCCCCCGACAGGCACGCACACCCACCCCACAGTGCCCGGCTCGGCTGCGGTGAGTGAGGGGCCGGGGAGAGGCGCACCGCCCAGCGAGCGCCGCGCGCCGGGGCCCCCCGGGGCTGGAGAGGTCTGGGGGGCGCGCGCTCGCTTCGGCCACTCGGCCGCTGGGCTTGTGCCTTTTTTATTTGGCGTGTTCCCTTACTGCCGCTGCAGCCGTCGCCGCCACCGGTTGGGGATCGGCTGTCAGCCTGGGCGCAGCTGCCTCCCCAGCCCTTCCTCTCCGGGGCACGGTCGGGGTGAGAGGTGAGGGGCGTAGCGGTCTGCGGGGGCTGAGGGCGTGAGCAGAGCGTCGGGGATCCGGAGGCTTTGTACTGCCAGGGGCCGGCACAGGAGCAGAGCCCGTGGGTGCTCTCATGTATGCCGACCGGTGCGCGGGCGCGAGATAAGGTTGTGGTTTATTTATTTGTGTGTTTATTCGTCGGCCGGCTGGGAAGCTAGAATTGGAGAAGCTGACGAGTAGATGTGGGGGCGGAGGAGAGCAAGACTGGGACGGCTTACGTTTTGTTTCTCTTTGAAAAAACGTGGTGGGCTTTTTCTTGATTAGACTTGATCCCCCTTTTGCAGGGGAGGGAGGGAAGCTCCAGAGGGGCTCCAGAGGTTCTCCAGCGCTCCGGGCCCTCCTCAGCTCTCGGCGGGACGGGCGGTGACGCCGGAGCTCGCCGTGCGCTCCCGGCCGTTCTCGGTGGGTGCCAGGCTCTGCACCTGATGCGTTCGGGATGCCTTTCCCACCCTGGCGCGCCCGCCGCTCGCTCGCACAGCGCCTTGCACACTCCCGCACGCGCTGGAAATGCGCACGGTCCCGCCGGCTCGCGGACCCACCGAGACGCACAGAGCGCTCCGCACCGACTCGCTCGCCGGCTCCCGAGACGCTCGCACCGAGCCTGGGCCGGGCGCGCCGGCCGCTAGCGTGCTGGCCAGAGGCCCGGGACCCAGCCGGTCGCTCCTGGGGGTCACGGCCTTGGGTCGGAGAGGGAGGGCCTGCAGACCCCTTCTCGCCTTTCCTCCCACAACTCGCTGCGGGGCTTTTGTGCTTCTCCTTCGCCGCGGGGCGGGTCCGCCTCCTGCCGCCGCGTAGTCCAGCCTGGCCGGACTGTGGCTTTTCCTCCCCGTCTCTTTCGCTTTCCGATGCCCCTAGGTCAGCTCTCCTTCTTTCAGGCGTCTAGCTCTTCGGGAAAAGTTGCTTCCCCAAGTTTGCTGAAGTCGTCTCCAAGTCTCGGTGGGGGTTGCTGGGAACTGGGGGCGTGTGAGAGCGCGGTCGATCCTGAAGCTCTGGCGGGTTAGCGCCGGCTCTCCCCGCGTCGCCGGGCTGGACGCTGCAGCCAGGTCCGGCCGGATCGCGGGCGCTGAGCGGTGGGTGGGGAAGACGGCTGTCTGAGGGTGCCCCGATTTCCCTCAGGACCCAAATGGCTTGTTCTGGGGCGCCAAGCGTTCATTCTTTTGGCTGCTCCCTCCTAGTTCTCAGAAGCCCCGATGTCTGCGGGAAAGCACGAGGTGGAGAGGCTCGGCTGAATGGCCATCCCACCCTTGACGGCCTCCGTCCCCACCCCGGGGTGGGCAGCACAAGTGTCTTGATCAGGCGTCCTGTGAATCCTTTCTGTGTGAGCGTGGAGGCTCCTGAACTGATAGAGCTCCTTCTGAGGGTGGAGGCAAGCAAGCAGTGTTTGAAGAGTGAGGGAGAGACCTTGCTGTTCCTTGCTCCCAGTTTATTCACTGCAATATTGGCCGCTGCAAGGCAGACACAGGGAGGGCCCTGGGCCTGGGCGGTCTAACACTCCTTAAGCGGGATTTGGAGTACAGGAGCCCTCTTATTGATCCCTAACAGGCTCAGGGAGAGGCCTTTGTTTCCCAGCCCTGTCTTCCCTTGCTACCGGTTGTAACTCACACCACAGATGCTGGTGCCAATATCACTTCCAGCGCCTCTGAGCCATGTCCAGCATCCCTTGCTGCCCCTGGTCACAGGACTTGCAGACTCCTTGGAGCCTGTGGGACACACGTGGAGTTCACACGCCCAGCCCAGCATGAGCACTCCTGGCTGTAGGGGCGCATGTTTACTACCGTCTCTCTCCATACCTTAATGACTCATCCTTCTTTGTGTTTTAGGTCCTCCTGCCCACTGGGCAGTTATGGGTAGGAGGGTAGGTACAGCACCTTACGTAAGTGTGTGTATACACACACTTTTTTTTTTTTTTTTTTTTTTTTTAGATAGAGTTGTGCTCTTTTTGCCCAGGCTGGAGTGTAATGGCGTGATCTTGGCTCACCACAACCTCCACTTCCCAGTTTAAGTGATTCTACTGCCTCAGTCTCCTGAATAGCTGGGATTACAAGTGTGAGCCACCACACCCAGCTAATTTTAGATTTTTAGTAGAGATGGAATTTCTCCATGTTGGTCAGTCTGGTCTCAAACTCCCGACCTCAAGTGATCCAACCACCTCGGTCTCCCAAAGTGCTGAGATTACAGGCGTGAGCCACTGGCGCCCAGCCCCACACATCTTTCTTTTTGTCTCTGGCTGATGTACATACACACATACACACAGTCCAGATTTTAGATTACATATTCAATAACTTTGAGTCTTCCGTGGGTAGAAATGACCCAAGTTAGTGTGCGGGTTGTGTGTGTGTTCCTGTTAGTACCCTGAGATGGGGACAGGGCTTGGGTCTGCCAGTGCTTTGTAACCCTAAGAACAGTAGAAGGCCAGAGGCCAAGACTGATGGTGAGAGGATTGACTTTGGGGAGGAAAGCCCAGTAGAGCCCAGTGCCCATAGATTTTTGTGGGTCACGACTACAGGCTGCTGGCCTCCAATAAGTCTGACTTTGTTCCTGGGGCTCTTGCACTGAGGCAGAGTTTAGAAAAACTTTGTTTTGAAGATGAGGTTTGACATCTAGGGGGTTGGTGTGAAGCTGATAAGGAAGAGGCTAAAGTCTTGCTAATTTTAAGTAAATGTACCTTGTCATAATGAATGTTGGACTTGCCGAGGGAGCTCCTACTCTCTATGGAGAAAGCTGAGGACTCACAGGACTTCACTGCCATTTTCATTTCACTTCGTCTAACAGATGTCATAGAATAGTGAATTAGGCATCTGCTGTGGCAGAACCTTCTTTTTACTATCAGCATCCCTGGGCTTGAAAGGCAAATTTGAAGATTTCTGGGAAGCTACTTCAATTAAAATCTCTAAGTTCCTCTTGCTGGGGGCTTGGCAGGAGGGAGGAGGGGGCATGTTGTAGCGGTCGAATTCTTTTAGGGACACATGAATTTGTCTTTTGTTCTCTCATCTCTTTTGCTTCTTCCCCTCTTCTTTCCTCTAGTCCCTTCTGTTGGCCCAGGAAGCCCACCCTGCCCCGCCACGCAGAGCCCAGAAGGAAAGAGAGCCTCATGCCTGAGCCGAGGGGAGCACCATGGATCTGACAAAAATGGGCATGATCCAACTGCAGAACCCCAGCCACCCCACGGGGCTGCTGTGCAAGGCCAACCAGATGCGGCTGGCAGGGACTCTGTGTGATGTGGTCATCATGGTGGACAGCCAGGAGTTCCACGCCCACCGGACGGTGCTGGCCTGCACCAGCAAGATGTTTGAGATCCTCTTCCACCGCAACAGCCAGCACTATACTCTGGACTTCCTCTCGCCAAAGACCTTCCAGCAGATTCTGGAGTATGCATACACAGCCACGCTGCAAGCCAAGGCGGAGGACCTGGATGACCTGCTGTATGCGGCCGAGATCCTGGAGATCGAGTACCTGGAGGAGCAGTGCCTGAAGATCCTGGAAACCATCCAGGCCTCAGATGACAATGACACGGAGGCCACCATGGCCGACGGCGGGGCCGAGGAAGAAGAGGACCGCAAGGCTCGGTACCTCAAGAACATCTTCATCTCGAAGCATTCCAGCGAGGAGAGTGGGTATGCCAGTGTGGCTGGACAGAGCCTCCCTGGGCCCATGGTGGACCAGAGCCCTTCAGTCTCCACCTCATTTGGTCTTTCAGCCATGAGTCCCACCAAGGCTGCAGTGGACAGTTTGATGACCATAGGACAGTCTCTCCTGCAGGGAACTCTTCAGCCACCTGCAGGGCCCGAGGAGCCAACTCTGGCTGAGGGTGGACGGCACCCTGGGGTGGCAGAGGTGAAGACGGAGATGATGCAGGTGGATGAGGTGCCCAGCCAGGACAGCCCTGGGGCAGCTGAGTCCAGCATCTCAGGAGGGATGGGGGACAAGGTTGAGGAAAGAGGCAAAGAGGGGCCTGGGACCCCGACTCGAAGCAGTGTCATCACCAGTGCTAGGGAGCTGCACTATGGGCGAGAGGAGAGTGCTGAGCAGCTGCCACCCGCAGCTGAGGCTGGCCAGGCCCCCGCCAGCCGACCTGAGCACACAGCACCCCCGGCTGAGAAGCATCTGGGCATCTACTCCGTGTTGCCCAACCACAAGGCTGATGCTGTGTTGAGCATGCCGTCTTCGGTGACCTCTGGCCTCCATGTGCAGCCTGCCCTGGCCGTCTCCATGGACTTCAGCACCTATGGGGGGCTGCTGCCCCAGGGCTTCATCCAGAGGGAGCTGTTCAGCAAGCTGGGGGAGCTGGCTGTGGGCATGAAGTCAGAGAGCCGGACCATCGGGGAGCAGTGCAGCGTGTGTGGCGTCGAGCTTCCTGATAACGAGGCTGTGGAGCAGCACAGGTAGGCCCCACTGCAGGCCCGCACCTGATGTCGGACTTGAGGCCCTCACACTCTTCCTTCACACCCTGGCTGCTCCCACCTTAGGGGCCTGGTTCCCCTGTCTTCTTGGCAATTTGTAAAATAAAACTGAAACGCTTCTTCAAAAGTTCAGGGGGATGGGGAGGGGAGCAGAGTTTTTAGACTGCAGTGAGGGGGCCTAGGATCTGTCCCAAAAGCACCAGGGGACACTCATGGGCCCAGCTTCTTAATAGGCCCTTCCCTCTGTTTTTTGCTTTTTTGCTCCTGTTTTTTTCTGCTGCCTGGTCTGTTCTCCTTTGCTTGGAGTGACTGCTAACATGGAGAGAAGGAGAAAAGGAAGTGGGATGAGGGTCTCCTGTGGCCTGGATCTGATCATGCTCCTAGGTTTCAGGTCCTCAAGTTCCCATGCAGTGGTTCCTGTGAAGACAGGCAGTCCCTTTCTGCTGCTCGGGAGAATGGGAGGGGCTGGAGGCTACTTAGGCCACAAGAGCAGCTGCAGGTCCAAACCTTATTCCTGGTGAGCATTCATCTCCTTGCTCTGTGTCCCTTCTCATTCTCTGGTCCTGCACATGCATTTGGGGGAATTGATTTAAATGCAAGGGGAAAGGACGGGTATAAGAGTCTTGCTCTTGCAGCCTGTGAAGTCTCATTCTTATCCCATCTCTGCTCACATTGAATTAAATGCTGCTTCAGGCTAGCATTGGCTTCCCTCCGGCTTCCGTTTCCTTCTCTATGAAATAACCATTCATTGAGCTCTTATGACATGTTTGGTTCAGTACTAAGCACTTTCCATCAGTTGCATTTTCATTACAGAAGCCCTTTGAGGTAGGTAATGTCCCTTTTAAAAAAAATTTGGGATGGAGTTTTGCTCTTGTTGCTCAGGCTGGAGTGCAGTGGTGTGATCTCAGCTCACCGCAACCTGTCTCCTGGGTTCAAGGGATTCTCCTGCCTCAGCCTCTTGAGTAGCTGGGATTATAAGCTCATGCCACCACGCCTGGCTAATTTTGCATTTTTAGTAGAAACAGGGTTTCTCCATGTTGGTCAGGCTGGTCTCCAACTCCTGACCTCATGTGATCCACCCACCTCAGCCTCCCAAAGTTCTGGGATTACAGGTGTGAGCCACCGTGCCTGGCTGGTAATGTCCTTCTTTTACATAGAACTATACTAAGGCTCAGATGTCAAGTCAGTTTTCCAGAGTCACATAGATAGTAAGAGGCAGAGCTGGATTCAAATTTAGGTCTTTACCCCCTGGTACTTTGCTGCCTCTTGGAGTCATTTAGGCTTGAAGAGGATCATGTCTATGGAACAGAGGGTTTCGAAGATTGCTTATTGGAAGTGGAGTAAATAACAGAGGGGATCAGTAGCGGGTTTGTTTTTTTTTTTTCCTTGCTTGTGTCATAAACCATATGCCCATCATTTTACCCTGCAGTTTCTGGGTCAGATGAATGGAGTCAAGAAATCCAGCTTTCTGTTGTATTGATGACAGCATTTTGCTGTACACCCTCTGGTCTGCTGTTTTGCTGATCTTGGGTGGATTCTGCACTTCCCCCGCTTCACCCCCATTCTTCTGTTGCTCATTCAGGTATGGGGGATGTGAGTGAGAGGGATTGGGGTGTGGATATCTGGAAGTTGATCTCATCACCCCTAGCCAAAATCTGCTCTGACTCTACCTCCTCGACAGCTCAGAGGCTTACCTTGTGGAAAGTGTGGCAGAGCTAAACCTAGCCGACTTTTTCCAGTGGGTGCGAAAATAACCGCCACTGAGGTGTGTCTTCTTGATGCTTGTACTGCTCAGAAATAGACGGAGGTTGTGTTTGTTGTTGCTCAAACTTTCCTAAAAAGGAAACCCCCCCCACCCAAACTTGACCAGATACATGTATCATCTTCTCCGGATGTGCATTATTTCGGCTGTGTGCTATGAGAACTGGGGTATGGTGGGAAGTGATTGTTTTTCTGACTCTGATCGGGTCCTGGTTCCTGGTTGCTTTTCTTCACCCGAGAGGGCCACAAAAGATAGCACTCTGTTGAGAATTCCAAGTTCCCCTTCAGCAAGACTCTCATTCCGCTGGGGAGAGAGGGAGAGTTGGCCGTGTTATATTACAAAGAGCCTGGATGGTGAAATTGGCTGTGTTTAGTGGTGAGACCCTGTGATAGCTATTTAACCTTTCTGGGCCTTGTTTCACTCACTTCTTAAAATGGAGATAGTCAACAGGGTTGGTGCTGAATTAATGAAGTAAGATCCAGAAATCACTGGAGCTGTGATGGGCACATAGTCACTGCAGCGGTGAAGAACTGAGCCTTAGTACACTGTGTTGCTCAGGCCTCATCTCTGCACGGTCCCCACTGGCTCTGAGTTCTAGTGTGTAGTGTCCACAGGGCTAGCCTCCATGGGAGTTGTGTTGACAGTGAGGTGGTGCAGAGGATGTCCCTGTCCTTGTGAGCGTATGACAGCGAGACGCTGGCCCTGGAATCCTCAGCATCACGTTTTGGGCTGCTGACAAGGAGAATGTGCTTTTTGTTGTTGTTGCTGAGGCAGAGTCTTACTCTGTCACCCAGGCTGGAGTGCAGTGGCACGATCTCGACTCACTTCAACCCCCACTTCCCAGGTTCAAGCGATTCTCTTGCCTCAGCCTCCTGAGCAGCTGGGACTATAGGCGTGCACCACCACACCCGGCTAATTTTTTGTATTTTTAGTAAAGATGGGGTTTCACCATATTGGCCAGGCTGGTCTGGAACTCCTGGCCTTAAGTGATCCACTCACCTTGGCCTCCCAAAGTGCAGAAATTACAGGCGTGAGCCACCATGCTTGGCCAAGAATGTGCTTTTGACTGAGGGTGGAAGGTCAGCAGCTGCAGCTCAAGAAGCTAGAGCCAGGGGCAGTGCCTTTGGTGGGAAGCTTGGGGGTCTAAAGACATCAGAAAGGGGAGAAAATATTCCAGTGTGTGTTCCGCCCTCACTCAGGTAGCAACCCCTCAGGCCCCAGCTAGATGTACCTTGTGGAAGACTTTTTTCTCCCCCTCACCCTCAAAACTCCAAGATTAATGTGCTATTCCCTTTTTCCTACTGTTCTCTGTCTTTCCCCCAACCCATCAGCAGCCTGAGAAATGCTCTGGTAGAAGAAAACACAGCCCTATAACCAGTACAAACAAAAAAAACAAGAAAAAGAAAGATCGGAAGGGGAGATTTTGATGCCAGGAAGCCGTGGCATTTGCTGGAAATATATCAGTGATGAAATAACAGGCTACAGGGTTTATTTTTAAGCCAACAGGCCTGAGTGTTGGTAAAGATTGGATACCCAGCAGTCCTTCTTGCATTTCTTCTTTTGGTGAGGGGCAGAAGGGAATGGAGAGGAAATGAAGGTAGATTGCTGGTAAGTGAGGCAGGAAGGCAGGGAGTTTATTATGGAATGTCATCGGTAAGTTTCCCCATGATTTGATCCCAAGCTGGGGTGGAGTGAGGGGTAACCTGTTGGCTCAACAGGTAGAATCAAACTGAGTGGTGTTGTAGGTCCTGTTCCCTACAGTGGACAGCAAAATACACAAGCCATCCAGTGCAGGAGCGACATGTGTAAAAGGGATGCAGTGTTAAGGGTAGTCATGGATGGATGGGAAGACCAGGCAAAGGCACCAAATAAAATGGGACTGACTTACCTAAATGAACCAGAAGGAAGTCAGAACAGTGAGAAGATCTGATAAATAAGCAGTATTCTGGAGGCAGATCAAGAAGCACTCTTTGGGTCCCCAGATCTTTACCAGTGTGTCCGCCTTACAGAGGATAATGTCTGAGGAAGGGGAGGGTCATCTCAGGATTCTGGAACACTGGACTCTCCCTTTCTTCTTCTGAAAGGCTGGAGCAGTTGTGCATAGAAGCTTCTCTGAATATGGTGTAGGAACCAGCTCAACTGCACCAGGCGCACCTCATCATTCTCAGAGTTACATACATGTGTGATAAGATTGCAGGGAACAGTGTAGTAGACTTAAGTGTGAACCTAGTCCTCATTTATAGTCCCCAGTCTCCCATGGTTCATACAGCCTGGTCCTTTTGTGTTTCTGAATTTAGTGCTGCAGATCACAGTGGGGTCTGGTTTCCAGGGACCCCTGGATCCTATAGAGACAAGCACTTAGGTCAGCTGCAGTGTCTGTCCTGCACAGACACCATCACAACTCTTGCCTGGTCTTGAAGGGAATTCTCAGGAACCACAGGGAATGTCTCAGCCAGCTTTCTGGATGTATGCGTACAGTCCTTCCTGGAGGCTTTGTGGAGCCAGCTCTACGGTGCGTGAGCCATGTGGCTAAGATTTCAGAGTTCTGCCTGGCCCTTGGCCTTGGTCTCTCTCAGATGGTTGGCTGCTCTGTTTTTAGTGGTTGATCATGTAGAAGGCCAACAGGTGTTGACCTTGGTTTAGGCTACTTTTGGAATTTTTGAGGTTGCCTGAGACTCTTGGTTTTCTTTCATCATCCTGCCCAGAACCTCTGATGTCCAACTAAATTCTGTTTGGAAAAGGGCATGCTGTATAATAATGATAGCCACAGCAATAATATTAATAATGCCTTTTATCGGTTGCAGCATTTTCTTCTTTGGAAAGCATCTCTAGTGATTTCATCTCTGTTACCCTCACAGCTTCCCCTGAGCGGGGTACAGGTCTGTAATCCCTTATCTGTGATAATGAAGTCTGAAAAGCCCTGAAAACTAAAAGGTTTGCAGTAAACTCATTTAGTGGCAAAACCTGATCTGAACTGACATGATGCTATATTTATCATGCTCATTTTGAATATTCATGTTTTGCTGCAAAAATATTAATGTGTTTGATTACAGAGTGCTGCCCTAGACTCTGCTGAGGCTGTTAAACATGATAGGTGTCAAGAGCACCTTTCTAAAATCTGAACGATTTTGGTCGTTGGAGCACCCACAGGTTTTGGATAAGGAATTGTGAATGATTATCACTCTCTATTGGCAAATGAGGAAAATGAGATTTGGAGCAA